TCGTACTTGATATACTAAACTATTTTTCTCTCGGTGTACACCAATTAAACTCACTGTGATGGGAATCTTCTTACTATTCTTTCTCTCCAAGCTATTTTGGTTGACTGTTTCATCTATAGAAACGAGTGTGTCTAATATAATTTTAAGTATAAGACATTTAAAAGCTCACGGGACTGCCGGTACAACTATCCCTAAAATTAATTGTAGGGTAACCAAAAAAACCAAAATCAATGTTGAAATTTAGAATTTTTTTTAAATTTTTTCATTTGTTGCGCGCTTTTACAATATTGACAAAGTAGTCCCATTAATCTAGACCATGTAAATTAATTTAATTCGGATACTTCTACTGTTAGAAATATATATATATTTTTCATATACCCCACACAACCTTCAAAACCTCCACTAGACAGATACCACTTTTCAATTTTGTCCGAAAACCTGTAATGACAACCCACCCCAAACCCTCCCTCAGATTTACAAAAACATGCCCCCTCTGACCTCTTTCCCTTTGTCAGTTTCTGCAAAAGCATCAGAAATTTCAGATTCTTTTTCATTGCCCATTTTCTATTTTCTACGCAACCAAACAACCACAACAAAAAGAAAATGAAAATCCAGATAAAAATTACAATCCTTTATATATCATTAAAATCACACAATAATAATTAATATCACAAAATAGATTAATCCACCAGCAATTAACCAGAGAGAATTCCTTGCCAAATTTCAACAAACTTCCCTTTCTCTCTCTTCTTTAGAGACAGAATATAATATATAGATCGATCGATCCTCGATCTCAACATTTCATTTTTCAATTGCATTTCACAAATACATATTGAAAAATCAAACTTTGACGATCTTCGCAGCTTTGACCACCGGATTCTCCCTGGCGATCCGGTCTCGTCCTACCGTCTTGTAATCGTAGTTGCAATCGTGTCGGTCGGAGTACCGATGCTCCGAGCAGAACAGCTCACCGCATCGGCACCTGAACCCGGTCAAACCTACCCTCCTCCGGCAGCCTGAGCACCGATTCACTGCTTTCTTCGCCAAAAGTAACGTATTTGCCTCCTCTTCTTCCCGATCCGGCGTCGTCTGATCGGTATTTGTACCAGACAGCTCCGATGACCTCGCCGACGAATCTGACGGGCTAGATCTACGATTTTTCTCGGAGAACTTTAACGTCGCCGGAGCTACAGCGGCAGCGGAGGAGGAGGTGGTGACGGTGGTGGAGATAAAGCACTTTTGGCACATGTTGTTGGTCGCCGGATTACCAGTGAGGCCGCAGTTGTTCACGCAAAGCGTCAAGGTTTCTGGTACGACCTTGAATTCAGTCTCTTCTTTTCCGTCTTCTGAGCCATCTTTTACGAAAGATTTCGATATGTATCAGAATTATATGAATATTGATGGGCGTCTATCAAATTTGGAGAGAGAGAGAGAGAGAGAGTTGGGATTGAGAGAAAAATTGGGGGTTTGAGCGAGAGGGAGGAGATGGTGAGGAGTTTTATTATGGAGGTTCGAGAGAGGTTGGTAATGGCGATAAAATATGGGCCTCAAGAGACGCGTATCAGCCATTTTTTGTGTTTACTTTACCAAAATAACCTTGTGACTTTTTTGAATAAGCGAACAAAAAAAATGAAATGCACAACTAAAGGGCATAGTTACAATTTATTTTTTATTTTTTGTTAATTCAACGATTAAGGGTGTCTAAATCCGTTTACGCGCACTTTGACTAATTTTTTTTCAATCAGGTCAGAGGTAAACCATCCAAATCGGAACTAAAATATTCATGATGAATAAATTTCTCATAACTTAGCCACAAAAAATTGTTAAGATTCAAATTCAAAATGAGCAATGCTATTGAGACTTAATTGATTGACAAAATTTGTTGACCTAATTCACTGTAACCTTTGGATTGACAATAAATTTCATCAAATATTGAAACTTGATGTTGATCTAATGATTCCTATGAAGTCACATCGTTATGTCAGTAAATTAAGTAATATTTTTATGTTTAAATAGCATTATTCATTCAAAATGCTTGAGTTTACAATTTGCTTCTATTACCACTTGCTACCATTAAGATTGTTAGTTACAATTTATGAGAAATTAAGTTATGACTACAAAAAATTAGTTACAATTCTATGAGCTTAAATTATTGTTAAAAAAAAATTGAGACTTTTTAATTTACGAATTGATCTCAAACAAGAAGATTTTTCCTATCGTAATCTCATCATAGTAGAATCGTAATGTTGCTCTTATTTTCTAGTATTTTCACTACGATATCAAAAGGGAATTATTCAATATGCTAAGTCTTATCTTTGTGTAATTATTGTATTATTGATGGTAATTAGAGTTGTTAGTTGAGTGACATCATATTAGTTCGGATCATATCATTTTAAATTTAGACCAAATATGGTTTAATTATTAGACATAATTACTCGTGTCAAATATCAAGATCCTAAGACATGTTTGTTAAATGTGTTGTGATATTAAAAAAATAGAGTATATTTAATACGAGTATATTCAAAGATTTTTGAAGTCATTCTTACCCAATTTGGGAGATTTAAACAAAAGAATTCATGGGGTGATAAAAACAGGTGTAGTATGACTTTTTCAAGGAAATAATAAATCTTCAAATAAATTTGAAATATGAAAAATGCTCAAGATGTAAGCACTAAAATAATTCAAGAGCAGGAAATAACAATTTCTTATGCATCAACATAATGGTAAAAGAATAAACAAAATTTTGAATCACACAAATGTGTAATTTGTTTGTTTTGAGAATCAACCAATTGACAAATCTGCAGCTCAAGTGACTTATCCACATCCTCCCTCTCAACCAAATGAAATGTCATGAATCAAATCAATAAGTTTATTGATTAATTCAAAGTACAAGGAGATGTAAAAAAAAAATTCAATTGTTGTGGATCATGATATATATCATTATGGGAGAGTATGAAACAAAAAATAAACCCACCTAGTTTAGGACAGGGGTCAAGGGCCTTATTAGCTCGCCCTTTTGCTTCCGAGAGGTGAAGCGTGCTTGATTGACCCCTATAATAAGAAAAAGAATCGTAGTGCATTGACTTGGAGTCGTTACTACTTTGTTTAGTTTAGTGATTGATATCTAAGATAGTTTAAGTATAATTATTCAACTAATTCATTCATGAAGTGTGAGTAGTATATTATTTGTGTGATAATTGAGATTCAACTCCTTATTTTTTAGTAGATTCGAGTCCTTCTATCGATTATATTTTATTATCTGCAATTAAGTTTGAAGGAAAAGATTAAAATTGAAGCCAAAAATAAAAAAATTTAAAAATATAGAACAAATTATATTTAAAAAATATTTTACTAAAACAAAAATATATTTATAAAATAAATCTTATTAAATTGTAACTTGGTTTAATGGATAAAAGATTATCTGCGGAACAACGCATACCTACATTGGTCTAAAGCCGGCAAAAGTAATCCTGCTCTTTGCCTTGAATTGATACAACGGAGGGACAATTAGGTAATTTCGCAGCATCCCTCGTACTGCACCCGTGGATTGATAAGATAAGAGGAGGGCCATTGTCTCTCACCTCCGGTTTTCAGCCGCCCTGTCTGACCGTCCCTTTCTTTCACGCTCATGCATAGAGCTCTCGCCTGAACGTACACGTGTCCGCGTACTCGTCAGATTTTAATTTACACATGGCGTCATCGAATTGGCCGACGCGGAACCTGTTTCCACTTTGCGTTCGATGCGGCGTCGTCTCTTTAACCGGTCTCCGCGTCTCGTAAATCCATGCCCCCATTCAAAAGTTTCACGGATATATACTCTATAAGAGGGATCAACCACTCAAGGTGGAATCCAACAGTCAGCGGCCATGACTTGGTCCCAATTACCATGTGGGACCAGTCAATAAGTGTGTCCCGCGGTAAATCTTTCTCCATTCTTTCAATTTATCGATAGTCTATTATTTTCTTATCAATTACAAATTACCCCCTCAATTTTAGGTGATGTTAGAATCAACTCGCCTTGATTTCAATTGAAATAATCCCCCCTCCCCCAAAAAAAAAAATATACATTGAACATTTTTTATTAGATATACGTTTATATTTCGTAGATAATATATTTCGGTATCATGATGACAGGACTCTTGAAGAGGAATAGTTTCATTTTGATTTGTGTAGTCAAACTTTTTTGTAAGGATTCTTAATTTACTATCAAACAAATGCTAAGCTTTCCGATTGCACAACCGTATCACATGCAAAGAGGGAAAAGGAAAACAAATCAGAGAGGAAAAAGATAAGAAAAAGAAAAAAGTAAAGAAAAAAAAAATAATAATAAAAAAAAAAAACAGCCGCACTCAGCCGCCCAATGTTGTTGGCCCAATGACAAGTGCAACATGTGTATTTGTTTGGTGGTTAAGGAAATTGCCGAACACTCTCTGACAACAGAACGCGTTTGCTTTCTAATTTCCATTGCTTCAATGTATTTTCCCATGTACTCTTTCTTTACAATCTGTTTGGTGATGCTAGATCAAGGAGTAGGAAACCATTTTTAAGTCAAGTTACAACAAAAAAAATAAGGTGATTTAGATCGATTATAATATTTTAGAGTCGACTCAATTTTTGTTTTATCGTAATTTGACCTTATTCAATTGTTATTTGATCCAACAAATCATAACCTGATTCAAAAAAGATTATTTACTTTTGATATAGTCCGAATATGGTGTCGAAGTGGGTAAGGAACCAAAATTTATAATAATTTTGGATAAAAATAAAAATTTAGATCTATAATTACAACACAAAAAGTTACAACATTTTGTAATCACATTAGAATTTTTTTTTGGATGAAGCTACGAACTTTGAGAGTTAAGTAATAACTTTTGGGTGGCAATTAGGATCGACCTTAACATTTCAAAGTCGATCCAAAATACTCTCAAAAAGTTATAACTTGACCCTAAAAGTTTATTAGTTAATGGCAAAAATTAGTAATTGCTAGTGCAATATTAAAAAAAAAAACGTTGGATACAGTAGACTTATCCTTTGGATATGATAATGCCTTTAGTACCCTAATCTAATCTTCTTGGGGCATGTTTGATTTGAGTATTGTTATGCATGGTATTAATAAATGTAGTCCTTACACTTTTAATACCAATGAAAATTATTACCGGTAATAGAAAATATTCTAATTTTCTCCTATGTTTATTGTTCAATAGATACTATGGTGGGTTCCATAAACAACCATCTATTTTATCACATCTTGTATAACAAATATATCATTTTACTCTTAAAGTCATTCATTCCATTACTCTGTTTGTGTAATACTTTTCCATAATGTTTGGTATAATACATGGTATGACAATCTATACTCAAAAAATTCTGGATAATGTAAAAAATTCACATAAAAAATAAAAAATATGATACTATGAATAGGTGACACCATAAAAAAAATTAAAAAAAAATCGGTGATACCATTCAAAATAATCCAAAATAATATAAGAATTTCAAAAAAAAAATTTTAAAAATTGATGACACAATATGCTTAAACATAATATAAAGAAAAAATTCAAAATAATTTTTTAAAAAAAAATAAAAAAAAAAAAACCGACAACATCGTATACTTAAACATAATACAAGGAAAAAATTCAAGATAATTTTTTAACAAAAAAACTGTTGACACCGTACACTTAAACATAATATAAAGAAAAAATTCAAAATAAATTTTTTATATGTGAATTTTACACAGAGGAGGATATTTGAGTCATTTTCCTTGTTTGAACCATTGGTAGATTTATACTAATAAATAATACTACCTAATAGGTGGTATTCATTAAAGTCATGTACAAGTGTTAAATGTTTACTGTTCAAATCGTGTCGGTATTATAATCCAAAAAATAGGACTGCATATAAAATGCCAAACAAATAAGGTAATAGGTGGATCTCAGGTATTATTTCTTGCTATCCCACGCTATATAGATCATCTGCTTGATGACCCCTAAGCTGAAATCCTTGTACAAGTATAAATAATTAAAGTGTATTTATTTAGTAAAATTTATGTATATTACTATAAAACAGTCGTAAACATGCTTTTAGTTTTTAAACTTTGATTTTAAGCAAAACAAATAATTAAGAGCAATGTTAGGGATTCGAATGGAATTCCAAACACCTTTCAAACATGATAAAACTCGATTAAGACCCTATGATAAAGTGACATTAAATGACAATCTGGACAACCAAACTTGAATTTTCCTCCCCATCACTGTACAGGAAAAATATGACAACACAAAAACAGTTCATGTGCATTTTTATTTTTATTGTTTGGTACATAGTATTCAAGCTTGTGTCGATTACTTATTTGAGTTAGAATATTGGCCACTATACTCTAAATAAATTTAGAACATGTCTCCTAAAGAACAAGGATGCTTGACCTTAAAGGATATAAAAAGTGTTGAATTTAACACCTTTAAATTCTAAGAGATCAGACTCGGTCACATAACCACCGGTTAATGTGCACCGACACTTGTAGGAAATGATCACATAATTCGATGTAGTATCCAAAGCCCATAAATACAAATATGTCGTAGTAGATGTGCTGATGATTATGACCACTGCGACTGGACCACAATGAAAAGGAAATCAAGCTAATAAAGTGAAGTGCCTTCCTTGGGGGCACCTTACAGCTAGGTAATACTATATAATTAAGGACATGTTCATACTTTCCCTTTGTCTTTTTCCATTTTTTCAGTTTTCTTTTGGCACCTTGGGAAGAAAAGGAACACCATAAAACACCCATCTCATAAATCAAAGAGATTGCTTTCAGAGGTTGTTGTCACCACAATTGGGAGACGCATGTTGTGCTTTCCAAGGGAAGTCAAACCTAAAGCGATAACAAATATTCATCCATCCACGAGATAGATTATGGGTTCGAGTCCAATTCCATTATTTCTAGAATGCAAATAAAACTACTTACCAGGTATCTCCTATAAATTTCACTGTTAGACCCAGACCTTTATAGCTAACTACAAACTTTGATGATAAACAAGCACAAACTAGCACAAACAAGCACACTAGAGCCATAGAATTAACCATGCTGATAAGCAAGACTACAAAGTTCTTCAGGTCGGAAAGGTGTTGTTAACTGTCATGCCATCAACCATTTATAACACACGAGAGACGTAACAGGAGAAATGATAAACAAGAAGGTTCATAGAGAAAGGGGACAGTGACATTGCAGTTCATGAACCTTCAATACAAGACTCCCTAAATTTTATCGAGCTTTTGAGCCTGAACAACTGGGTTGGCTTTGGCAATAGCATCTTGTGCAGCAGTGCGATAATCAAAGGGACAGTCGTGTTTGTCAGAGTAGCGATGAATTGAACAAAAGAGGTTTCCACATCGACAATTGAAACCTGTTAAGCCAACGCGCTTCCTGCAAGTGTTGCACCTGTTTGGCCCTTCTTTAACCTTCTCTTCCTTCTCATTCAGTGCTGATGCACCAGATGCTTCTGTTGATACAACTTGCAACTCTGATGGACCAGCCTGTGTACCAACAGCTACAGGAACATCCAACTCCAACTCATTGCTACTAGAGCTGCCGTTAACAAAACTCTCAATAGATGATGCAGCAAGTTTAGCCTGTTCTTGCTTCAAAGTCAAATCCTTATAGCACTTGGAACACATGTTCATGGTTGCTGCAGTTCCAAAGAATCCACAATTGTTGACACACAGGACAGGACCTTGAGGAGCAGCTTGGCATCCCGTCTGATTTTGCTCCATTTTCAACTTTCCTGTGCCAGAATTACCAAAACAAAACCATAAAGTATACCATTAAGAACTCAACCTCCATATCGCACAACCCCACTGTACCCCTAATTCCATTGTGAACACTGGCACCACTCCCCTAGGGTCTAGACAGGTATAAATAATCAAAACACTCGCATCTTACCAGCAAACATTCATTTTAAAGCATGCACAAAATTTGCAAACAAAACATAAATTATAGTTGTATATCACAAAATGTCATTGCCTCCGAAATGAAACTATTATATTTCTCTGAAAGGTCAAGTTGCTGTCAATATTCCTGAAAGGCTAAAAAGCATAAACCAAACAGTTCATTAGAAACAATGCATTTTTGAATTTTCCATCTCTGGAACATGGACTGAGCTCTGACATACAAAAATCAAGAGTTTCAAGTACCAATTCATTGAATGAAAAACATAACACTGCAGATGTTCTAGAAAAAATCTAGGCTCCTTTTGGAAGAAAATAATCTTTGCTTGGAATAGGAACCTCATTCCCAAAAAGCAAGATTACCCTGTTTTAGATAGTCAACTAATCAGCAATTTAAACCGGACCCACAATTAACTGCATTCAAATTCCCAAAGGTAATGGGTATCTGAAACCTATGAGCAATGGTTATAATCTCATTAATAGCTTGATTGGAAATTCTAAAAAATAAAAATTTCAAAATCAAGCTTTTCCCAAAATCAAGTTCCTTCATAAAATCAAGCATCTTTCCAAAATCAAGTTTCTTTTACCAAAATTTCCCATATATATAAATAAATCATTAACAATCATTGAATGGTATTGATTTCCAGACAAGGTTCCTGACAATAACCAAACAATAAATATACGATTAACATGGTAAAAAATTAAGACCGGATTTCTTTTTGTTAGCAATGGGATATCCATTTCTAGTTAGGATTACCGTATATAAATGGGGCCTTAGCTTACATAGATTTTGCATATATAATCACAAAGATGAAGACAATCCACAATTCACATAGCATAAACTACTCTCATCCTAAGCTTAATGTGACAACCTCGACAACCAATCTAATATATTCAGAACTTCCAAAACTCATGCAGCTTTGTGGTATTGATCTGAAAAACCAAGGTTTATATCGTGTTATTGACTATAGAGTTCAACATTAAAAGATCACGAAGTGTCCAAGTTGTGAAGCAATATAATCCAGTAGCATTTAATGTTAAGGCATGCTCAAATCGTGTTACTCTGAACATAGCTAATTGTAGACAACCAACTCATTGATACTACCTCCACTGTGCCACCATCATAAACCTCCAGCACCTCTCTGTAAATACCCCCACCACAAATCACCACTAAAGTTCCAACCACCTCCACCAAACCACAAAATCACTCCCTTACAATCATAGTATATCCACCATCTTGACCACCCGCACATTAGTGCCAAAACCCTCATTGTGTCCACAAAATCCACCGCCACAACGTCGAAAAAACAAATAATTATAAAAACAGAAGCATACAACATCCCACTTTTGCTTCACCTTGCTGTTATCTCATCCTATATGCTACAATATAAAGAGCGATTCCACACATGAGACACCCATCATTGCAGGGTCTGAAGATGGTCAAATGTACGGATTCTTACCACTGCATGAGAAAAAATTGTTTTCGCGATTCAAACTCAACTCCCAGTTCACAGTGGAGAAGTCTTATCGTTGCTTCAAGGCTCAACTTTAAAATGAATACAATACATGCTAAAATGTACCGATTCTTACCACTACATGCAAAAAAACTATTTCGCGATTCGAACTCAACACCAAGTTCACAGTGGATAACTCTTATCGCTACTTCAAAGCTCACCTTTAAAATGAATACAATTTATAATATAAAATGGGACAGACTTCAATAAGTTCATTCAACGGTCTTAAATAGACTCATCCAACGGCCACCAACATCTCTCTTAAAAACATTCACATTGTACCATGCATTCAGGCACGGATTACCCCTAGAACATGTTAGAATAGGATAGTCATCACACGAGACTCTTGATACTGTGAGTGTAAAGAGGATGGATGTATTCAACAATTCACCATGTTCAAAGGGGCAATTTCTGTGAACCGAACCTATGTCACTCACATTACAAAGAAATAGCCACATTGTTGTGTCAACACCCACACTAACTTGAGTGATAAAAAATGGAAGACTGAAACATCAAAGATGTAAGTTTGACAACAATAGTTTCCTTCTCAATGCCATATAACCTTATAATTATCATAATCTACAAGTTCTTAGTTCCCATATCATGCACTTTTCTTCCCACATCGACAAAGCACACCATTAATCAAACCATAAGGACATCAACCAGTAGAACATAGCTCCACTCATTTTTCAAACCATAAAATTCACCATCAGTATTACTTGAAAGTAAAAATAAAGAACATAACGCAAGTCTCCTCTCCACACCAACCAAAACTTGCCAATCTTGTGAATATATTGATTATTTCCCAATCTATTCCTCATCACTCAGATGTTCAACCAAAAACATGTCCTTAAGCCCCTTCTTATTGCACATAAGATCATAATATACTAATATTCAATGTATTTATACATAAATATGTATATACCTATGGGTCCTGGTGTAGCGGTACAAGCTACCAAACTAACAACTGTGAACTTGTGGATTTGAATTTGAGAATATCAAAGATTTGATGTGTACCCAGTACACCCCTGCCAACACACTCGATTGTTGCTAACCCAATCAAAAATTTAATCATATTGGGCACTAAACTTTAATAAATCGATCAATTACTACATGAAAAACCCAACACACAAAACAGAGTATGAAACAAAACTAACCTCGGAGGAGACAATCTATTCGGTCGCCCTTTTTCCCTCTAATCCCCTACAAAAAGAAAGAAAAAAAAAAGCCCAAGTTTCATCAAAAACCAACTCAACGATCAGACAAATTCATACATAAATCACACAAAAATATGAATATATGTTTATATATTTGGAGAGAGAGAGAGAGAGAGAGGGAGATAAGAACTAACCCCAGAGGGCGAACAGGAAATTGCCAGAGAACCGGAGAGGTGGTGGAAATGAAAGGATCGAGATGGGTATATAAAGGTGGAAAAGAAAGAGTGCGAAGGAAATTGGCGACAAAAAGGCAGTACGTGTCTTTGTTTCATTGGTTGCAAAAAATAAAAGTCAATTTCGAGTTGGGTTATCCACCAATGAATGATGGGATTATATAAAGTTTATGTGAGGTTGAGGACGTCTGATCATAATTCACTTGAATTACACAGTGGCTTACTTACGTTGATTTTGTTGTGTTATTACTATAATGACTCACTTAACACGTGGCATACTATGACTACTACAGCATGTGTGGACGGTTTTCAAAGGGTATTGAATTAGTTTTTGCAAATCCATCCCCCCTTTTTTTTATACTCACCTTTTTCTTCTCCCTATTTCAAATAAGGCACGGACGAATTATAAATTTAAATATTTTAAATTTAAATTTTAATAATTTTTTGAGATTAAACAATAAAAAATTTATCGGGTAAACCAAAAAAAAAATATTTCACAAAATATCGGGTAAGAAGATGAAAGATCATATTTCCTACCTATAGGGTAAGGTAAATACCCTTACCAATAAACAAACATGCCTCTAGTGTTGAAACAAGTTTATAAGTGTGAGATTAATATTTGAGTCGTGTTGTTTTGAATTTGTGTCGTGTTTGTATAATATTTGAACCATCAATTACAAAATTAATTCTCATACTAATAAAAAACCATGTTTAGTGTAAAATATTTGAACCAACAATTACAAAATTAATTCTCTTATTCGTAGTTAATACCAATCTACTCCATTCATTTATTCGTGTTTAATTGATCGTTTGTGTCTTACAGACGTACTTTGAATTGGAACTCAATGCAGCCCAGACTATTTGTTACAATTCATCACTCATGTTGACAAGGATATTTTTCTGTAGAGTAAGATTCTATTTAATATATTTTGAACAATGTTATTGAGATTTAATTTATTAATTTATTTTCTGATCTAATTTACTATGATATTTAGATTGATTATGAGTCCTATCAAATATTAGAATTTGATGTTGATCCAATAATTTCAATAAAATTATATCATTATGTCAGTAAATTATAATAAATTTTTAGGTGTAAATAGTATTACTCATACATTTTTAGTATAATTTTTTTTTGATAAATCACTTATCTATACTACTAATAAAAGTAGCTTAACATGAATTTTTTTTTGTTTTCCTATATTTATCCCTAATAAATATTATAAACTCCATCATATCCTTTTATTCTACATTAAGTACATCAATAAATTAAACATTTTATTGTATTCATTTAAGCTCTAACTATTTAACACTACTCCAACCTTTATACCTATATATGGTCTTTCTTTAAGGTTTAGAAATGAGTCTTCCTATATAGATGAAAGATTTTTTGATCATTAACTAGCATTAAGGGCACTCGTTTCTTCACATGAAGAAAAAGTGTCAAAACTGTTTTGGTTCTTTTGGACTTCTAGCTACGATCTCGCTTATTCCATTTACAACTTAGAAATCAGTTTTGGATAATTGAATTTGTGATTTTAGATAACTGATCTCTTTTTACTAAAATAAAATTGTCACCTATGTTGTTAAAGACTCTTCATATTAGTTGTAAGGGTCACGTTATTGCTTTCTATCTCTATAGCATTCTACCACTTGTAGTAGGTTTTTCTCATCTTTTTTTTTTTTTTTCACTTTTCTCTCTAACCACTAATCGGTTTCTTAGAGTTCTTAATCATACTAAAAACAATATATTTTTCACATCCAATGTGCACATTGATTTCACTCTCAAAGTGTCAAATATTCAGTTGAATTATATTGCAAGTTGTTCTTATTTATCAAGTTAGCCAATCAAATAAAGCCTTTTAAACCTATCGTTAACCAATTTCATTTCCTATTTTATTCTTAGTTGTCGTTTTTTGTTTTGTAAATAAACTTCAACCTTGAAGCATGATATGATGGTATTGCAAAGATTGAAATTCAACTTTCGTGCATATTAGAAAGCTCAAGTACTAAAAGAATGATATTTTTGCTTCCTCACTTGACCAATCAGAGACATATATATTCAGAGTCAATTAATATTGCATTAAACACAAAATCAACCTCAAAAATTTCAAGTTTCATAGGTACTCATTGAATTTTAATTATTCCCCAAAATTTTTATAATCTAATTTCTTCATATTAATTCTTAATTTTTATGTCAAACTTTATTTGTTAATATTAATATTTGAAGATTTGATTATCTAAATTTAAAATTCACTTGAAGAATTAAAACGTGTCTAACAATGTATTACGTATATGACATGTTACTTTTTCTTCATCTTTTTGTGTCTTAGGTATCCCCAATCTACAATTCCACTTTTCTTTTAAGGAAGAAGATTGATTCGGTGCTTTTATTACTGAGCATGTAAAGGAGAATTTAATAATTTTTCAAGTTATCTACGGAACGACATGCTTGTTCAAAGTCTAGACTGTCAAACATTTCTCGATGACAATCTATTAAAGCTTAATTTTTTTTATTCTTTGCCTTACTCGATTTTTGATTTTATTTCAATGTGTGTCGGCTACCTTATTTCAAAATTTTTGCTCATCATATTTGCTGGTCCGGCTTTATAGCTTATAATAATAGACACTTTCAGTATGCTTATTTTTTTTTTTGTTTTCCTATATATATATATATATATATATATATATAAGTTTCTATTAAATAGGAAGCAAAATTTGTTGGGGTTATATATATGAGTGTAGAAAAAATAATAATAATAATAATAAGTTAAGGGTTACATTAAAGTTTAAAATTATAGCAAGAGTAAAGTGAGATATTTAATATTTATTTTAAGGATTACGGTTTAATGTTTTCGGGTGATATAATTTGGATATCCATATGTGCTTATATATAGATATTTAGTACATGAGATGAGATGGGTGAGAAGTAAAAGCAACAAAATATAATGAAATATATTTGACTTTTATTCCAAAGGAGAGTAAAGTGGGTGGGCCATTGTTTGTTTCATGAATGTGTTTCTAGGTGGGCCAGTGGAGACCACTATGTGCACCATTTGGTGCATAGGCTCTTGGAAGACAACACGTGTGTGGTGTGAGTAAACAAAATAACTTGCAAGTTCTCTATGTGTTTGACAAAGAAAGAGATGAAGGCAGAGTAATCAAAATAACTTGTAAGTTCTCTATGTGTTTGACAAAGAAAGAGGTGAAGGCAGACAGGAGGTTCTGAAAAAAAACCACCCGAGAAATAAGAAAAGAGAAGAGGGAAAGAGAAGGACTACTGCCCGAAAGAAATTCAACGTCGATTTTTTTTAAAGCTTGCGCGGGGATCAAAGTTGGTAGATTGAAGTCGATTTTAACATTGCTAGCTTGAGGAATTAGCAAGTAGATTTGTGGCACTTAACTTCCTATGCATGAGATTAAGTCGTTCAAATTAACAAAGTCTAAGTATGGTTATCTTATACAATCAAAATAGAGCATCAAATATATGTTCATATGCATTTATTTGCATTAATTGAGTAATTTTAGGATTGATGCTCACTTACATTTGCATGTATGCTAATTATTAGGATCAAAGGCTACCATTCGGTTGCACATAGAGATTAACTGTAAAGCGAGGAAGGATATCTATCAACGATATTTGAATAATAATTGATGATATATGATTTATTTTTTAACTATGTGAAATAAAGTTTGATGAATTGATTTGAGTTAAGTTGCTTAAACTATGTATCAAATGTACTTTTATGAAAAATTTGAGATTTGAGTATTATCCACTATACCGAGTTGTTGAGAGTTCGACATGACTTACATGTTGTTGGTTTGGACACTGCGTAGTTGTCATGAGACAGTTTGACATTGCTTAAATGTTACAGATAGCCTGCCATTACTTATATGTTGTTATTTGACTCATTGTTTATATGGATATTTACATATTTTGATATATGAGAATGATGTGAGTTTCAAAGTGAGTGGAGTTTACTGTGGTTGTGATTTGTGAGTTATGAATATCTTTTGAGTAGAATTATATTTGATCTATATTTTTGTTTTATTTCCTTTGATTATTATGTTCAGTACACTTAATAAAATTATTAGTTTCAAGATGCCGAAATTTAGAGTGAGGTTTACTACTGCACTGACATGGTAGAGGTGGAGGAAAGTTAAGGAATCTAGTTGATGTACATATTGTACATGAGTGTTTGTTTTCCCGGTTGTTGTAAAGGGATGAAATCCCCTAATCTTTTATTTTGGTACAAACGACACTATTGTGTACTCTATTATGTAGCTTATCTAGTCTTAGTGTTATTAGATGACATTATTGATTTTAAATATGTTATTGCATTACAGACACATGTATTACCACGTTTTGAATTATGTTTCCATCTCTAGGAAACCGAGGGGGTCTATTAGGATGGGTGTGACAATGATGCTCTATATCTTCTTGAAGAGGAAGAAGTTTTAGGTCATACTCATTAATTTCGAGTTTAGGGAATCAAAGAGTTTATGATGGTATTAATAAAGATTAATAGGTATCAACAAACTATGTCAATTGTAGTTCAATGGGTCTATGCAGACTATTAGTTTTATTGGATAACATATATATCGTAATTTTTCTTTATATTTATCTGATGTTCTACTGAAGAAGCCAATTTAAAAAAAAATAAGTAACCATGAAATCATAATACAACAAACATCTTTTAGTATTATAGACAAAATATGGAAGATACATTCCTTTGTTTATAATACAAGTTGAATTTACTCTTCTTTCAAAAGTTTCGAAATCATATGCTTGGAAAACTACAACAAAACTAAAAAAAATTGCAAAAAGTTTCTAACCACTTGATAGTCATTAGGATTTTAAACATGAAAAATACTCTTGCATTTTATTTTTCTCTTTTTTTCTTTGGTGCATGTTACTTTGTTACTATTTTTCTCCTTTTTAGAACATACTACTCAAAATGGACTATTAAATGTGATTCCCCTTTTTTACGTAACCCCATTTTGGCACAGTCTTTAATTAGTGAAGATAGAAAGTGATTGAAGATCGAGGGAGGAAGAAATATTAAATACAATCATCAATTCTTTTGGAGTTTACTTCT